TACCCCCCCCCCGTTGACCCTCACTTGCATCCCTGATACCATCAACTGCATCTCATTTATAACGGAAACCTTCTTCTTTCTTCCCCTGGTAGTTAAAATCGTGTACAATGCAGGGCACGGCTCTATAAGCATAGACGCAGTATCAGGGACCCGTCTGCGTGTGCAGGGCCCATTGGACACATGGCAGATGCCCGCAGACTGCACACTGGAAGCACTGGAGTCCATGCAGATGGGCCATTATGGAAACATCTACAAGAGCCAGCTGAGGAGAGGATGTGTCACCACTGCTGTGCTGGTTAAGACCCTCCAGGGTGCGTTGCCTTTGCTGGTTGCCGTACAAAGCAAAGCAGCGTAACTGAATATTTTATCAACATTGAGTTAATGACTAAAAATTGTTTCAAGCTCTATTTTATTTTGTGAGAAAAATATTATGCATCAAGGGATAACATTTTTATACCCATAAAACGATGAAGGAACTATGAAAAAACATTTCACTTTTAAACTGTGGATACCTGGAACCTCGGATATTAATATATTCCCATGATATATTAGAACACGGCTGCGATATATATCATTTTTATCGTTATGTCAGGAGTGGGGCATTGTGTTTTTTTGTGTAGGAGCAATAAAAGAGCAGCCATACGGATTCAATAAGTTTAGCTGTAGCTAACACTGCGTGGTGGCCAGTGAATGTTAGAGCAGCTAAGCTGTTACCCTACAGTTATGAGAGTTTAAGATGTTGGAAAGTTAGGATGTAATATAGCCCCAGGACAGAACAGACAAAATGCGGTTATAAATGAGAATCCAATCGACCTGTTTGGATGTGACTTATCTTGCAATATAATGATTAAGATATCAGGATTTGTTTAGAGCCCGTCCAGTGAATTTGATGGGTGACTTTCACAAATTGTAATGGTTGCTGGTATCATTTAAATTACAGATTTATTTATTGAATATTGTCACAAAACACCCTCCATAGATTTACAATGTTTAAGAGAGAATCATTCAATGATTGTATTTATTGGATGTATCGGTGTATCTTCTCAGTGTTGATCACATATGTCTACATCTCCAGGCAGCAACAGCCAGGCCACAGCTGAGGAGTTTGCCGCTTGGGCCCAGTTCCATGCTGTGGTGTGCAGGCATGAGAACCTGGTGCGGATGCTGTTCTGCCAGACCCAGAAGCTGCCCATGTACTTGGTCCTGGAGGCCAGCAGCCCAGGGAACCTGCTGCACTTCTTGTGGACTCTGAGGCAGGTTAGACCTTCTTTGGCAAAGGATGCTGTTTTTTTTCAATGGTTTATTGATCACCATGGGGAACTTCTCTTTATGCCTCCCTCTTTAAATGCTTCAGTTACACCAGCAGTGACACTTAATAGTGGCATTTAACTAGAATAAAGACACAATTTAACCCATTTTCCCACTGTTATACTCCAGAATGATGTTGAGAAACCCAGCCAGCTGGAGCACTTTTCTGAGAGGTCGGTGTACTTGGTGGCAAAACAAGTGTCAGCGGGTCTGGTATGCATTCTTCTGCATTTCTTCTTGTTTTTAATTCAGTAAATCAGTAATCTATTTACAATGAGTAAACAACAGAACCTGTGCAATGATTTCTGGAGAAAAATACACTGCCTATGTTTTTAGTCCCTCTAACGTCCCTTCGCAATCACAGCTCAAATTGAAAACTCCAAAGTGCTGTTTTTACCGAATGTTAAGTGTCTATAAGTTGTAAGTCAACGTATTATGATTCCACTAGATGGCAGCATCCCTAAACCCAATCACTTGCATGTAAGTCATCGGTCTTCGGCTTTTGCGTTTTGCAGGACTACCTGTTTTCAGAGCATGGGCTTTACCACGGGGATGTGGCGGCCCGGAACATGTTAATTGGCAGTGGACTATCGGTGAAGGTGTCTGGCTTGGGGATGGCATTTGAGGCTCGGCAGATGGGCAAGGTGGCCAAGCCATGGGTTTCAAAGGTGCCCATGAAGTGGCAGGCCCCAGAGCGGATCATGCAGTTGCCGCTGACTGATCGAAGTGACGTGTGAGGAGGAATAATTTATTTACTCATAACAAATGCAGTAGATTGACATGGTAGAGCATTGTTACAATGTAAACTAGCTCGATGGCAAAAGGCTATGTGAAGTTGTTCTGTCATACCTCCAGTGATCGTCTACTAGTTCAGTGGATAAATGCTTTTATCAAAATGAAAAAAAAAATACATAGTATACTTTGCCATCTCAAGTTTATCTCTTCTCTTTTGTATCAGGTGGTCTTTTGGCATTCTCTTATATGAGCTGATTACCTTAGGTAAGACATTCAGTGGCTGTGACCTGTCACATCTTTCACACAATACCCTAGGATCACTTAAGCATGACTAACTAAAGTAACAAAGTTCCTGGAAATATCACCGATTTTCAGCTGGACAGTTCAGTTCATTAGTATTCATTTATTCATCACTTTCTTGCATCTTACGATACCTCTTACCAAGCCTGCTGGACAAGAACGCCACAACAGCAAGTTATCAATTGTTGAAGTAGTTCCAGAGAAAAGAGGGGGGTCCGACCTGATATTATGCAGGGGTGCCTAGTGATGTAGCCACTCAGTGTGTAAGGCTGGGGTAATGCAATGCATTAATGATCTTACAGTATTACTTCTTCTGGTTCAAATCCGGTGGCTGGCAGACTGATGTCACCAATGAACCATTAAACCAACTTTCCCATGGGGCACTGGCTGACTCTGCTCAAACACTCACTTCATTTTGGGCATCTGTTAAATAAATAAAGATGCAAATGTAAGTGCCTTTTGTCCCTTCCAGGGTCCCCCCCGTATCCTGACATGGAACCAATGGAAGTTTTCCCACAACTCCAGAAATCACACCGCATGAGGAGGCCTGAGAGCTGCGGGAGACCCTTGTGAGTGCTTTGCCATTCTAACACAGTGCCGGTGTTCAAAGGATAGTTGTTTGTAATTGAATGAAACGTGTTAGTAAAAAATGAAACAGTCCCCGACTTGTTGCCTTCCCAAGTCAGTTGCCATTGGTGTTTGCAGATATGATCTCATGAAGTACTGCTGGATGTGGAACTTCAAGGACCGGCCCTACTTCTCATCTATTATTAAGCTACTGGATTCGTATGTATACCTAGCAGACACAAAGATACTGTGCGCCGACGACAAAATGGACATCACAGAGTACAAGAAGGCGGCTGGTTTCTTGTCTTCATTTTAAACAGCTGTCACTATGCCACGCACTGTAAACAGGGAACTGCAGGACAAAGATTGGTGGACGTCCAAAATTTTAATTTTGTGGAAAATAACTAAGTTTGTGCGGAAATCACTGCGCCTCGTAGCCGCTTGATGTTTTTGTAATATAATCACTTCTGGGGTGCGCATTTTTTACATGTGGATCTAAGCATAAAAAGCGAATAATAATGGCAATCATCATTTTGTTAAATTGATGTCACTTGGAAGCAAGGAGTGACAGGATGCTAGAAGCCAAGATAAAGGCAAACCTTAGCCTAGAACAAGCAAAACTTTAAATGGTGAATGCAAAAATACATTAAAAATGTTACTTTACACAAAATGCATTGTTGTGCATAGAAGTGTGCAGATCACAAAACAGAAATAACAGATACTGTAGCTCTTCTAGATAACCTGAAAAAAATGCAACAAATGTTTCTTCATTTTTAAGATTGAGCAGTTTTTAAATAATAAAAATGTCAGTCTATGAATGGAGTTTGAGGTGCTCAACTGTTCCGTTTTTTTTCCTTCACCTGTATTGTCCTTCACCTTGATGATCAAACATGACTAAGCATTCTCAAGTACTATACCCTTATCCATCTTGAATGTGAGTGTTTAACCAGAATGAAATTAATTCAGTAGATGTTTCCTGATACTACACATCACATTATTGGATGAGGTAATGGTAATGTTTGTTTGATGGAAACGGTGGTTTAGAATCATATGCAGTGAATTATACTTAGTTTGAACAAGGTAGATGGGCACCATACTTTAAGATAATTAACTGGATCAGGTAGTTAGGGATGGATGGAAATATACCAGCATCATATATACAGTACAATCCCGTTATAGTGGACTCGCTTATAACAGAATATCGTCTATAACGGACAAGGTCCGCTGGTCCCGGCCGTTGCCTTTACTAACATGCAGAAAAAGCATCAGATATAGCGGACTCGCTTATAACGGAATTCCGCTTATAATGGACAATTTGGTCCCCAGGGCCACTTTTAGCTGTAGTTTTGTTCGGCTATAACGGACATGCGCATCAATAGTTATTTTCAAAATGCCTGAGAAGTCTGCTACGAAGCGTCGTTCTATAACATTACATTTAAAACGTGAAATCGTTCTTTTAATCGAAACAAAAAAGAAAACACAAGCGGATATTGTACGTGACTATGGTATAAGTAAATCTATGGTCAGTGACATCTGGAGTAACCGTGAGAAGTACAAGACTTCTTTGCAGTTTGAGAAATGACAGATTATTTTTCTTCCCAGTAATTTGCGTACAGTGTGACATAATGCTTTAGACCATCTTTTAGTGTAGGGTATTAGAATGCTTCTTGTCATTTGCTATGCATTTGTTCACTACAGCAGTAAGAAAAGAAGATATGTGTGTTGCAATAGGTGAAATACAGTAAATAAAGTTGGACTACTACCTTTCTAGGGTGTGGCATGAGTAAATGGTGTCCTGTACTTGTGTTCTGGGCAACTCTGGATATAATGCACTGTCTTGCCAGGTCCCTTGAAGTCCGTTATAACTGGATTTTACTGCCATGGATGCTGGATTCAAGCAGTTTAATAATCATTTTGCATACAACTGATCTAGCTTAATGTGGTTGACTGGAATTGTATGAAACATCTCTCTGAAAACTCAGTTGTGTTTAAAGTCAGTCATCTTGCCTGCCAGTGTACAAGAAGCAGAAACAAATAAACAAAGTTCCTACAGAGGATTATGAAATGGACAGTCATGGATAGCTGGGAAATTTAGTCAATCTAATGTTTATTTTTAAAAACAATTGGAAATACACATTTAAAAGATGACTGGTACCCGGTATTAACAGATGCATGAAACTCCCGGAATGTTAAACATATATTACATTTACAGTTATGGAGATGGATGAAAACAAAAGTGTGGGATCAGATTCTTACATTCTATTATTTCATTTAAAATTCAGGGCTTAAAACGGTACAATTTTCAGCAGTTTCCCTTTTAAAAGAAGGCAAATGTAAGCAGAATTACTGTCCCTACAACTTATGAAAAATATTTTGATATTACTTAAGTCTTGCCATCATAGAAACCCAGGGAAAGGCATTTATACTCAGAAATCCTCCTAATTAAGCTTTAACTGACAAATTTAAAAACGTTTCTTGTTAAACAGTACAAGTAATAACATTAAAATGCCCTTGCACATCAAACACTCTGGTTATCAGTAAAACATTGGTATAAGTACCAGCTGCACATAAAACACTATTTATTTGCCATCAAGAAGGAAAAGGATGATGCTCTGAAATCAGTTAATGTTAAAGACACTAAATGGTCATATGAAAATGTAAATGCAGCTCCTTAAAACAGGGGCTAAGCAGCATTTATTCTTAGAAAGCTGAAGGACTAAAAAGATTGTTGGATTTCCTGTACAAATTTTATATATTATTATATTCCATCTCACATATTATAATGTGCATTTGGTACTAGTGCTATGTCAGTGTATTAATGTTGCAACATGCTAACTTAAATATTAAATAATCATACTAAGTCAGATGAGGCCTCACTTTAATCTGAAATGTTTACTTGTCAGCACGAAAAAAAGGTGCCTGACGGTTATCTTAATCACCGAAGACAAAACATATTATAAAAGTCCATCGTTTTTTTAGCAACTGGAGCATCTTTTTAAATGTACACAAATCCCAAATAAACAAAAGTATAATACACATTTTTTAACATTAGTAAGGTGCACAATATTTCCGGCAATAAAAAGAAAGTATTCAGCAGCATTTGTGTGCCCTAAAACTATCTGACACTTTCGTAGAATTTGTCAAGTCTATGTTCAGCAAAACAGAACCAACCTTCAAAAGCAACAACCTGATTTGTTACTTGGGGGGGGGGGGGGGGGGGTATTCCGTACTGATCATGCCAAGCACTAAAATCTGACTAGACGTATACATGCTTTGTGTCCTGCATTCATGATCTTATCATATTGGGGAAAAACCTCTACATGGAAAAAAGAAGGTTCTCAGAATGACTTTGCTACTGCATGGGGAAAAACGAGATTCGTTAGAGACACACATTATTTAACAATCATAAGATACAAAGCAGGAGATTTCCTTCTTTTTTGGGCTATACAATTGCATTTTCATTTAACAAAACAAAACGAAACAGAACATTATAGTTCTTCTATCTTCCCATCCAGTAAAAATCAAGGAAAACAACATTTTCAGAAGGTATATTGTGTCACTTCAATACAACCAGTGGGCTTTAAGTTTGTTTTTTTGTTTTATGTCTGTTTACAGTTGCCACGGAAATAGGCAACGGCAGGTATAAGGTCTGTAGTAACTCAGGCCAACATTCTCCTGGCCTGATAGCTCAACATTTGGGTCCAGGTCTCACCTTCTGTCACACCTTACAGCTCCACAGTGTTGTCGGAAACAGAATATAAGATACTGACCACAGCAGGTAGTAAACACATGCAGACGGGAAAGAGGAACAGAACACCATTGCCACTCCTAAAATGGGTAGAGAGAAAAGAAATTAATTATCCGCAAAAGGAAAGAGTAATTTTTTCACCCTAACTAAATTATCTAGCTCTTGTTGCATCTGCTAATATGTTATGAACCTCACTTGTACATCGCTTTGGACAAAAGTGCCTGCCTGATAAAGCAAATGTATCTATTGATACCTCATACGTGATTCATCTGAAAAGCAATACTTTAAATTTTTTTATTACATTCTTAATAAGCTTGGCATGTTCAGCTAGCATTTAACCAACTAAGCCTATAACTTTGCAAGGCAGCTGTGCAGAATTACTCCTAGTTTCACATACAAGTAAGTTGCCTACAGGTTTGGTGTGTTTTGTTTTTACCTCCAGCATAGACCACCTTCTTCCAGGCCTGGGACTCCAGGATCCTGTCGTGGGGGTAGAAGGTCTGGCTGACCATAAAGAGGATCATGGCCACGGCAGTGACCCGCAACACCATCACATTGCCTCCTGACAGCAGGCAGGTGCAGGATAGGATAGCAGAAGAGTAGATGCAGGGGAGGCCACGGTACATGAAAGGAATCCCTGTGCAACAAAAGCCACATGAATCTGAGAGCAGTCAAAGGAAGCCATCTTGACCTGTGAGATCACGGGTGGGCTCTAGGAGGGATCAATGCCAGAACAAAAATGAATTTTCTCACTGTTCCAAGTCACTAATAATGGCAAGCTCAGCACCTGCCATCGTAAGCTTTCCTGGGAATGTACTGTACGATTCGGGCCATAAAGGAACCCGTCGTGGTCTGGCTTACCGCTGGAGAAGAAGCAGAGGCGAATGAACACCGACAGTACATAACACATGCAGAGGATGTTGTCCATCAAGTCATGCGTCCTCAGCAGCAAGGCCGTGGCAATGCCAAATGTGGTAAAATCGGCAAAGTCATCCAGCTTGGCACCTAAACTCCCCCACCGGGCCAAAATGGAAACCGAGACTCAGTACTCTGTGACTTCACTAACTCACACAAGCCAATGTGCACCATACAACATGCACCAGGACCAAAAGGACAACGATTAAACAATTTTGAAGAATGGAATTCTCAAATCTGAAAAGCAGCATGACGAAACGTGAAATGTGACACTTGCTGTGCCCTAGTTCCAACTCCCCGCTTCTGATAAGTATGAACCCACACTGGCTGAGCTGAGGACCCGTAGTGGAAATTTCCCTCAGAGCTTAACGATAAACAACAGTCTCCATGCCAGTATCCCTTTATCCCACCACTGGGGGCCTATTTTGGCAAACTCAAAATGTGTGCTGATCCCGGTCTGTGGCTGGTCAAAGGGGCCGAATTCCAGCACCCAGGGTCAAAGATTTAAGCAATTTCAGATATGCGAGACACTATAAGCACTGGGATTACTGAGATAAAGAGTAACTGATCCTTTACAGTTATCCCTGTTGATCGGAAAGAGATCCTTCATTCGTCAAAAACGCGAGGGACTGGTTTATGTGTTTTCGGGGTGGGGGTGGGAGGGGTGTTGGGATGGGGCACAAAACAGTAGCATGCAAGTGCATGCAGAAAACTAACACTGGAAGTACAATGGTTGGGAAAAAGGCCCAGCAAGGGCGGATATATTTGTGACTCCCAATTGGTCAACATAGAACAGACGACCATTCACACACGAACAGCATGTGGAATTGCATCAGCGCTACCAGTTTCTTAAATATTCAGATCATCTCAACTTCACACTAAACTCAAACAATGGCACTTCACCATGCTCACAAATAATGGTGTGCAAAGTCCCCATTGAAATATAAGCTCAGCTTTCTTTCACTTTATGCAGGCTCCTTGACGCTACTCCCGTAAAAAAATGCACCTTGGCCACAACATAACTTTCTCTCTCTTTGTCAGCCATGACAGCTCGGTTAGAGGGCTGACTGAAATGCGCCCTTAGTCCTGGCAGCAAAACACACCCCGCTCACCTAGTGCTGAGCAGGCATCCAGTCGCCTAGCAACCGCTCCGTCGGCCAAGTCCAGCAGATAACCAATCAGAACCAGCCAGCATGCAGCATATTGGTGGCTGGAAGATGAAAGAAAAGAAAACAAAACAAATAAGGAATTCGTGCTCCCTGAAGTCACAATTAATCTTTTCCTTCACAGAGACCCTGCTACTTCATAGAGGTTTTAAACCTTATAGTCAAGCATCTAGAAGGAAGGTCTGACAGTTAGGCCTGTTCTACACTTCCTGCTCCACCCTGCTCACCCATTGAGGCTGCAGAGGATGGAACTCATTCCCATGACCAAGTTGGTCACAGACAAGGTATTGGCAGCATTCTTCCGGGCAAACTCCTTCAGCTGGACTCGGCTGGCCTGCTCGATCAGGAAGACTTTCTTAGCACGCTGGAAGAAATCTGAGACCAAATGAAGACAGCCAGTCACAAACGGCGGCTTCCAAGGGTGATCGAGGAAAACTGAACCATGACTAAACAAGCCTTAGCTAGATGAACTGAGTGCTCTGAGCAGAAGAAAAAAAGATTTTAAAGTATAACAAATAAAAGAAAACAGGACAAGGAGAACAAACCTCATAAGCTCCTGCCTACTCCAAATCACTAAGTATTATGACCATTAAAGAAGGAACAGTTACAGGATGCCATGCCGGGGGAAGCCCCTGCTACTGTAAACAAGCCCCTAAACACTATGGGTGCCGCATTTTCTACGCCGCGTCCATAAATGTGCAGTTCAAAGATTGTCTACGCATATTAATATTTCTATAATTATACAAAATGTGGAAAATGTATATAGAGTAAAATATGCATTTTTGTGTATGTGTATATATTTATATACACACACACATAAATAGATGTAGAACTGAGGGGTTTAAAAAGTGCAGTCAAAAATTAAAACCAATAGCAAGAAAAATGGCCAGACTTACCAACAGTTTAGCATTTTGGACATCCACCCTCTGAAAGACTTTAAAATAATTTTTCTTTAAAGTAAAACATTTAAATAAAATAACATATGCCATTTGAATACCATTAGCCGTCTTAAGGTCTAGCATTTCCGATTACATGTTTTTAAACTTTTACATCAAACAAAAAAAGAACAATTTCAGATACAAATCTGAAAACTGAGGTCAAATTAAAAGAAATCATATAAAACTGGCAGTTTTACTTAAAAATAAAATATCCCGTATGGCATCAATAAACCCTCACTGAGAAATTATGTCCTTAAAGTTCAGAGATGTTGGTAATGGACAAAAGGCGAATTGGTCAACTACAGAGACTGCCTCTCAGGATTTTCATTATTTCTTATGGTTAAATTGAATTAGAAAAACTAGTAGCATTAAATGGTATGTTTATGGCATATGTTATGACATCTCCTCATTCATAGAATTTAAGTGATTCAATGCATATTTATACTTAGTCAGCAGGCTCAAGGACCTGATGACCTAACCCCATCTACAAGTCTCACTGGACCTTGAAATGAGGGAAGGCTTTTTAATGAACTGGGACAAAGAGACTTTAGTCCTGGCACAATTACGAGGCTGGAAACTGTAAGCAAAGAATTTTTTTTGGGGGGAGGGGTGGTTTAAAGATTGCCTTGGTAATTGTTCCTAGTTGACAAAACTGCTCCAGCAAGTCAAATGACCTTTTCTGAATGCTTGTCTTTTAAACTCTGTCCCTTAAGACTAATGGTGGCACACCTTGAGTTGATTATCCATTTATGGCCAGTGCAAAAAACAAACAAACAAATAAACAAACAAAAAAAAAATCTCAGCTGAGAAACCCAATACCAATGTCAGATCCACGAAAATATTAGCATTCGTGGAAATAGTGGATTATGCAAGCCTCAAATAATTTATGAAATGCTAAAAAAGTACCTTAAGAGAACTGCAACAAGAGGGCTATCAATGTAGATGATGCACTGTACTGCACTCCGTACCCTTACCAGGGAGTACACAAGATTCACTGTTCCTCTAACCATTGATGATAGATTAAAATTAAATGAAGATGACCCTAATAGCAGATGAAACCAATGTTAACCACCAGGAAAAAATCTTGTGTTCGATTTCTTACATACCTAGAAGGAAACTAACAGAATACTCATTCAGTAATCATACCTAACGAGTAATCATAAAGAACACTAAATGATCAAATATCATTCCTGAGAAAAGTCGTACTTTCAAAGGCACATAAAAGTGATCAAATATCCTCTCCTTTGTTTTGATGGTATAGCATTTAAAAAAAGGCTTTTGGTGAAATCAAGGTTGGCATGTGAACTGGAGGGATCAAGGTATAATTTGAAAAATACCCCAAGCGCATAGACCAAAGGTGAATCCAAAGAACCGTATTTAAAACCAGTTGGACACAGATGCCAATAGGTATGTGTCTAGTCCAGAAACCCATGTAGCTTGGGCATACCTACTGTGACATCTATGCATTAGAAAGATTTAAATTCAGGTTCCTACTATTGCACCCTGAACTTCACGCGATTCCATAGCCAGTCGAGTTCAAGAGACTCTTCATCTGAAAGAAAACATCGAATGAGACACAAGCCAACAGTACAATCCTTGGCTTTACATAGCAAGTCCGTATATATCTTGCATAGTTCTTGAACCACCAATACAGTTTCATAAAAAAGGAGCTGAACCTGTCAGTTTATGAAGCTGTGTAATGCAGAATAATTTGTTAAAGGAAAAAAATATTTTTTTCTTCACCTCAAAGATAGATTTAATTTTTCCAAGCACATTTTTTGTACATAAATGTACAAAAAATGTACAGAAAACAAATATTTTATTTACACAAGTCTGTAAAGCAACAGGATATATTTTGATAGAAAAAAGGCATTTCCTGAGACCCCAACCAACTACTTCAAAACATCTTTCCTTTACAGTTTGGTGGCAGGAGTGCCAACAAAATCTGTTTACTGAAAAAACAAAAGCCTGTAATGACAAGCATTCATGAATGCCTTACAGTGCTGTCAAAGCATCCAGAGCAAGGCACACTGAACGAATCAGGTATCTTCACCCTCGGGGCTATTTGAATAATGAAATAAAGCAAAGTCCTTCTAGTAGTTATCAGCAAGTCAGTCATCATGGGGTGAGTTTGGCTATTGCACTTTGTGTGGACAGAAAACTGCATTCATTTGCATATCAATAACATTCATTTAAAGTTAATAGTTAAAAAGTTGTGGCAGTTGGGTGGCATAAAAACAGCCTTGAGCCATCAGCAGTAAAAACATTATGGATGGTTTCTATTTTAGGAACAATTAATGAAATATTTTGGCAATGAATTCTGCATTCAGTCTCTTAAGTTACCTGTTAACATGTCTGGAGCAAAAACAAGACAGTCAGACAAGGGAATTAAAGAATAATTTCACTAAACTATTTCGTATTCTTTATACATTTCAATACCTAAATTCAGAAAATAAGCAATAGAAACTACGATTTTACATTTTTCTTGTTTTTCTTGTTATGACACTAGCAGTTTAACCCAGAAATATGTCAGATAAAAGCCAATATCTTTAGTTAGCATAGATTCTTAACTGAAGAACTTATCTGTTAACAGCTAAAGAAACTATTTTTGCCACTGGGGTTGCAGGAGGAGCTGTCTTAAACACATGCTACCGTCTGAACACATGGACTCTGAGCCCTTGTGTGCTTGTAACCAACCAACCAACCTTGCCTCCATATAAGGAGTCAAGAAATTCCAATCCAACAGAGCCAGAAAGATGTGGGGTTGTCACTGAATGCCAGTGGCAAATTAGAGATATAATTCATATTGCTAACCTGAATTAGGCTTTAATCCTTTTCCTCTCTGAAGGACAGAGAAGATATCAGTCAACCTGTATCCCCATTTTAAGCAGATTGCCTAGAATAAAACGTGATATCAAAGCCACATTCAGAAAAAACTTACCAGAGGGGGGAATCAGCATGAACATGGTCACGTCTGTCTTTTTGGCTCTGCGTCTGAAAACAAGTTTAATATATTTTCAAACAAATATTAAGATGGTGAAGGTGATGAAAGCCTGACTTCAGTCCCTTCACCTATCTCTCCTTCACATGACACGATATCTTTGCAGTGACCTCACACACACTAGCAGTCTCACACTACACAAAGATGAGGAAACTACCCGTTCTCTTCTGCCCTATGGCGACACACAAAACGACTAGGCTGTTTTTTTTTTAACTTTTAGTCTGCTGCCCTAAACCATCCATATACCAACACCTGCCATCTCTTTCACCAGCCCCCCAGAGGAACAGAAAACAATAAATTAATATTAAAAGCATTACTGTAGCACGGGGAATCTGACAGTCTGTTTCACTAGAAAAGCAGTGAAAATGCATTTCTTCTCTTTTGCACTCCTAATCAATTAATGGTGCCCTAGGCGTTCGCCTATGTCGCCCATAGGGCGGGCTGGCCGTGAATTTCACTGATTTATTCTGGGCTGCTGAATTATTAAGATCCTTTTAAATAATCAATGTACCGGGTCAAAACATAACTACAATGCACGATTATTTTAACATCATCATCATCTCCATTTTCGTGATATACCTGTGAGCTCTGACTCTAGGGGCGCGATGTAACGTAACTGTTACTGCCTTTTTGTGTCACATAATCAATCCGATGTTTTCCGTTATACACAAACACAGTTAACCCCCCAACTGTTAAAGTAAATAAATAGTACAACTTTCAATGCAGAAACAACTATAAGGGGCTATAAATCTTATATAATAGGCTTCTGCAGCGATAAAACGGCTTGTAATCACCACAGCTTAACCGGGCGGTGTAAGACTACTCCAGAACAAAGTAATACTCGCTTTATTCTTTTATAAAAAGGTATTTAGAGTAAAACAACGCAGTACTGGAATAACAAACATGTCATTACGGTTAAATGGCATGGCTCTCGATTCAAAAACCGATAACAAAATGACTGCATCACTTATAAAATCTCGTTGAAAAATGCTACGTTGCCTGCTATGGAAAGCGATACTGAAATCGTACATGACAGTTAAACAGACATCATAAGCGCCATAATAATTCCTCTCTTCAGCACCGCAAGGCCACCTATAGCTACAACTTCTCAACCCCCATCACTGAAAATAAAGAGAATATCAATATATTCACAGAAATAAGCGACAAACACATTTTTAATCGGACTAGAAACAGTTGAGACAGATTTGACAGATAATTCGAGAATAAAAGTCCCGAATACCAGATTAAATGAATAGACGGATAAGTGTGAGAAGAAGCTGAAATAGTTGGTAACATGAGTCATTTTTATGTAACGGCGTATAAGAAATGTTATTCTCCAGACTTACCTTCAAGGATTTTGGAATAAAACAAAAATGATGCAATTATAATATGTTACTGACTGACACTTGTGGTATACGGTCGGGAGAAAATGACTCTTAAATAAATTCTTTTGCAATAAATAAACTCCGGAGACTGTGGGACTGTGTCTTAATGACAGTATTGTACTTTTCTGTACTTCCCTTTTAAAGCCAAAATTAAATCGCTGGAATATTCCACCGGAAATGACGCCTCCCATCCTTCTAGCGACTTCGAAGGGGCGATAAGTGCGATGTGAGGGATGTAAAATTATGTGAAATAAGAAATCAGCTGCGACAAGCTTTGGGAAAAGGCGATCACAGTAAATGGCGGAGTGACGGGGCACACAAATATGTAAAAGGAGTGTTAATGAGCTAAAATATGCAAATATACACACAGTATTAGCATAAAGGCTCCTGCGGTACGACAATCGGTATTTGTGGTAGGAAAAAGTGCGACAGTTATTTTTAGAAACACACATGTGTCTATTTTGGTAGAATATTCTAGGCTAATTCTTTTGTTTCAATTCAAAACTTGTTTCAATTGGGCATGTATATTTATTAGTAGCTCTAGCCAGTGAATTAAATACAAACCTTTTAACCTGTCCAAATGACATTTGAGACCTGTTGCTAATGTCCATATTTCACAGTTCAATTACAGCTAATAATAGGGACCCAAAATGAGCTTAAAACCAATTAAGGATATTAGGACCATGAGAAACAATTAAGGTGCAGTATATATCTGAGGGCTGCAGCTCGGGCATTCAAATTCTCACGCCCAGGCAAGAAATCTTACGGCAGATCTACATTATTCTTTTATAAACCTAAAAATAGCCGCATCAAAAGCTTTGGGGTAGACTGCAAACCTTACAGACTATTTACAAAGTAATAAAACTGCCACACAGGTGTAAATGCGTGTGCAGAACTTCTCCAGCCATCTGGCAACCCTGCAAGTATTCTGTCGCAGAAAAAAATGTTGGTTTTGTGTTTACTAAAGTTTGGAATATTTACATTTCTACAAATCCAGTTTAGTAAATGGGTGATTCCTGTTTTGGACCACATATTTGGCTGTTTTCTGAAAATTGGAATGATTGTATTTTATGGTTTAAACATTTTGTCAGGACTATACCATACTTACCTATGAGGAATGCATGTTTGCCAAGCTCTGGGGTTGAAAAATTATAATTGTGGGATGTTTTTTGTATATATTTCTCCAGACGTTTTCCACCCTTTTAGGGACATGTGCATGGTAATCACAGAGTTTAAATAATGTACAAGTCAAGCAATACTGAACTTTTCTGGGATACAATGTGTCCCTTTTGCTATGATAAAAGTTTCATTCTTGTAGCATTAACAGTTTTAATTTTATGAGGAGTACAATGTCAGAATGATGGAATCTGTGCATTTTTTTGTCCCCATTTTGTTGTCTTGTATGAGGAATTTTATTAATTAGAAATAAAAGTATATGTAGATGCAGTATATGTACCTCATTTAACAAAACAATATACAAAGATTCAGATTCACAACAACAATACTACTACTACAACTAATAATAATAATAATACCACTGTAGTAACATAAATAATTAAGAAATACACTCATATAATAATAATAATAATAATAATACTTTTTGATTATACCATTAATACTCATTATCATACACAAGAAATACACTCAAATAATAAATCTACAGGTCATTTTAATGAAAATAATAAATATTCTTGTACAATTTCTACTCAGTAGGCTGCATATCCCATACATAGCCTAACAGGGTGGAACCTAACAGGGTGGAATATTTCTAGCTAATTTAGCTCTAGCTCTTTGAGTGAGCAGCATTTAGCTAGCACACACTCTACAGCTGATCAGCATCTAAATAGCTATTTTTAACATGTTTTAAAAAATATTTTTTCCAATAAATATTTCCCATAATATATACTAACAGGGTGGAACTTTAAGGGTGCCTCAAACCAGTGTGTAATATAAAATACAGGAGAGAGTGACAGTTAAAGCTTACCTTAGTCTTCCAGTTGAATTTCCCCCAAAAAACAAATGATGTCACTTTGTGGAAATGGCTGCATGGATTTGTAATCTTTTTAGGGAGCCAAGAAACTAGAGGCTCACAGGGTGGAAAATGAATGTGGGGACATATAATATATTATATAATTACAGAAAACAAAATAAGTTTCACCAGATTTGTTTCTTTCTCTAAAGGTAGTATACTGTACACTAGTCTATCAAAATAATAAAGAATAAGTTTTGGTTTTTATAATTTTATAGTTTATATTTACTGAGGAAGTTGAATACATTGTATTTGGGACATGCTAAAATGAGCGCATATTCCAGAGAAATGGTGCTTTAAAGAGATGTAAAAAAATAATAATAATAATTTGTCTTTGTTAGAGCAATAGAAAACACCTAAATACATAATAAAATAGGTTTGTTATAAAGATTTGTCTAATTTTATAAAAGAATAAGAGCCAGTTAAACACGAGGACATGAATATGTGGCCCAAAACAAGATCCACCCAAATAATTTAGATGGTATACTGTAGCAAGCATACAAATGGAGACATTTTAATTCAGTTATGCGACAGACAATTCCAACAACAATAACCGATGCCTATCGCTTACAAACTTATTGCTTTAACATTTAAGCTGACATAATGGACATTATATTGCTTGATGTTTATTTAGCCCATTACATGGCATTTACCTGAACTGTTAGATAATTTTATGGAACTTGGTAAATTGATTGTTTGGGTTCTTGTACCTAAGATAAGTTCAGTGTGTCTTGCTTTACACTAGAGGTGAACCGATCCCATTTTTTTCAGTGCCGATTCTATCCCGATACCTGATCAGAGGGTATTGGTGTTATGAGTACCGATCTGATACCAGAGCTATTTATAAACTTGTAAATACAAATATTAGATAGACTATTTGAAACATAGAAAACTTACTGTTCTACCTCTTATTTTAAGCATATTAAGCATTTGCAGTTCAATTTCAGTATCTTCCAAGCAAGTATATGCAAGTGGTGAATGCTTAAAATGCCCCACAATTTCCCGTTAAGCCCCCCGTGTAATTAGTACAAGCTATGGACTCCCAAATCATCTGCTGCTTTTTTCACATTAATTGCGTGCGTTGTTGAGTGGGATTTTTTGTTTTTAATATTGCTTAATTTATTAAAATTGTGAGCTGTGGTAACAAAGTCTTCACCAGGCTGATTGTGCTGAAATTCAGCACTCATGCATGGGTTATTTTGGCTTAGTGGTGGGAAAACAAATTCCACACATGAAATCATTTCATTGTGTGGCTAATCCCAAATTTTCAAAGAATTTATCCCCTATGGTTGTATCATTCTGTTGGAGACCCTATATTACGCCGTGCACAGATCATGCAAAATGTCTGGCATTTCAGTCCACGGAGCTTTTTTTTGCCTCTGCGGAGGCCTGTATTGTCTTTTTGATGATGTACGATGAGGGAGGCTGAGAATCAGCCTATATGCCAACGGGTGAGAATATTCATCCTGTCATCAGGTATCACTTACCTGATTTTGTCATGACCTGAAGCCCTCGAAGGAGACCTGGCCACTAGCTTGAGATCATTATGACAGCTGTCAGAGTACAAGATGGAAAATCTCAAAGTGTGCAGAGACAGATGTTCCTGACTTGGGAAAGTTGGGAGTTATGGGGTTTTTTTTCACCGTAGTGAACAGAGGATATTTTCAGTGAAATGAAAAAAAAAGGTTATGCTTTCAAGTTGAACTAGGTAAACTAGGTATGCATTTCGATGTCAGGGTGCCATTAAAGCACAACAAACAAAAATGATACTGAGCTTTTACATATGTTCTTTGGTCAGCTCACAAAACCTAAGAAGAGATGCAGGAGGGACCTTCTAAAACTTGCTGTGATGGTCGTTTTTAAGCGACGGGGTTTTTTGTGGTGTCTTAACTCTGAAAGAGTGATAGTAGACATTCTCAGTGCTTTTTGGAAGCACTTGGGTGACACTGCAATGGCAGGGATGTCATTTCTATTAATATCGATTAGCGTAGCTTTCTCTCACCCGCTTTGGTACAGAGAGCGGTGACTTTTTCTCTTGTGACTCTTGTCTTGGGTGTCAGCCTGTGTGGAGCTGAGATTAAAGGCCTTCATTCTCATCTACTGAGTTTGATGGACAACCTGAATGACTTAAATAAAATAACCAGCTGTGAAGTTTGCTGTGTTTATACAGCTTATCTATGTGGTTATGAATAAGCTTTTCGCAAAAGGGTGAGGATCAGGGAAAAGAGACGTCACTTGCTATGTATATAAAATTCAGTATCCTTTGCCAGGGATTGGGTTCATCTCTGCAGCCCAGCTAAGAAGAGAGCTTGTATGGGCAAGGAATCTGGCTCAGATGGAACCAGCCTTAATGTGCTGAGAGCCTGTGTGGATCAGCAGAGCTTTTTTAGGATTTGTTCAATCTGTACTACAAAAGGTCCCTCAAAAGGTCCTGCATTGTCCCAGTGCCCAAGGATGGAAGTGGCAGGACCCCCAATGACTTCAGACTATTGAAACTTCACGTATCACGAAGACCTTTAAATAACTGGTTCTAAAACATCTCACACGCAATGTTGAGAACTTCCTCGACCCAGTTCAGCATGCTTACTAGTTCTACAAATTCCATCCTCTGCCTACTACACAGAGACAATCAACATTGTTGGAATGCTCTTCCTTGTTTCTTGCAGTGCATATGAAGCCACCCAGCCCAATCTGCTGGGAGAGAAGCTCAGAAGGATGCAGGTGGATGACGACTTGATTGCCTGCAATCTCATCTGCTGGCCTCAGTTTGTCCACCTCAGCAACTGATGTGGTAGCGAAGAACACCGGAGAACCCTGAGATACAGTACAGTGTCCTGAAAATTTCACAGCAGATGATCAATAAAATGTTATCTTAATCTTGCTATGACTGGCGTTAAACAATTTGGGTCTTAGAAGTCTTAACAGCTGTGGTACTAGTCTAATCAAAGACTCTTTCTGCATAGGCTGGGAGAAGGCTACTGTGGTTCCTGTCAGCAGTCCTGGAGGTCTCACGGCTGCTGTTTTGGTAGGCCCAAGTCCACCCAAAATAATCCGCAGTCCATCACAAAGTACAAATGTACCATACAACAAAACAAATACCGTTTTAGTGTACCAGTGGCCTACACGTTTTTAAAATCTAACAATGAAGTCCTTACATCATTCACTGCTTTGGCACACGCTGTTACAAAGAAATCCAAATATGACATCATGGTTGGAAAGACAACGCAGCCACCCTCAAAGAGCTGAGATAAAGGCACCTTTATCAACCCGGGCACACGGTCTAAGGGGACAGGCAAGCGTTTGGCTGATGCTATAGCGCTACATATTAAAGGCTTGTATTCGTCTTGAATATGAGGATTTCACTCTTGATGTGACCTGTTGTCTCAATGATCACATGATTTATTAATAATTAAAATAACATGGAAAAGTATATGTAGAAGTACCAGGGTCCAATGCCTGTGTGCACTGCTTCCCCCCCCACAGTAAAAAAGGACTTGTTTTAGGTGAATTAATGTATTCAGATTAATATTTTGTTCTGTAATGGACTGGCATTCTGTCCAGGGTGTTCCCTGCCTCGTGCTTCCTGGGATTGGTGCTAAGATCACTTCTATCATTTACTGGATAAGTTGATGGGAAAGGGATGGATAAAATTATGTTTTGAATGACATGGTGCTTCTTTTCTCTCTGTTATTTTAAGTCTTGAACGAAATTTCAATTTGGGTTACAAGTCAAGCTGAAGTGCAGCCGGCAAAACAACCTCAGAAAGGAAAACTTCAAGCAATACAAAATACAAGGTTAGACAACTGCTGAATCATTAGCTAGCAGATATGGGCGCCACCATGCGGCAAAATCAGGTATGGCTGCTTGAAGACATGAAATGAAACTGCACTTTCACCGGCTAATTCATAGGTGGCGACACATCCACAAGCACGAGAGGAGCGCAGCCTTTACGTTAGTAAATATTATTTTTGCTGCATTAGAATAATGTAGGGCGACGCCGTGGTGACCTGGGTTCAAGCCTCCGCAAGGGCTCCATGTGTGTGGAGTCTGCATGTTCTCCCAGTGTCATTGTGAGGTTTCCTCCAGGTACTCTGGTCCCTCCCAGTCCAAAAACATGCTGAGGATAACTGGAGTAGCCAAAATGCCCATAAGTTTCTTGTGTGAGCGAATGGTGTGTGTGAGTGTGCCCTGAGATGGGCGGGCACCCCATCCTGGGATGTTCCCTGCCTTGTGTCTTTAGCCTCCGGAACAGGATCTGGACCCCCCCCCACAACCCCGAATAGGACAAGTGGTTTTAGAAAACAGATGGATGGACAGAATAATATATTGCAAATTAGATTTTGGCACTGTGCATATAGGCTTTGGAACTACCATTTGGCAAGGACACTCAAATTTGCAATGAGGACAGATATAGTTAAAATGTGTGATTGAGAGAGAGGAGAGTCCAGAATCAGTTCGCTCAGGGATCAATGGCCGTGGTCCTAAAACAGACACCACTGGGCTTATTTTATCAGGAGCAAACTCCAGCATCATATCCACTCTCATTTATCAATTGTTTTATCAAGTGTCTTATTATTGATCCTAAAATAGTAATGGATCTTACTTCATCATTTCACATTTAAATTATATAATAAACACAATTCCAAAAAAAAAATGTCAGAAATAAACACAACCAACAAAACTATAAATAGCACATGAAATGTTTAATTAGGAAACATGGGGGGTTTAGTAAGTCCTTCACACAATGGGCAATGGTACAGATATTAGCAATAGTTATTATTGACTGGTCTGTCACCATCTTGTTTAAGATGTCTTATTGCAAAAACTGCATTATACTTTTTTTTTTGTTTGTTTTAGCCTTTTCTCCAAAATCAACATGTAAACAAAACATTCTCGAATGGCAGAAAAGCCAGAGTGGCAGTGTCCCCCTTTAAAAAATATATATACTTATTTTACACTTTTGTGAATTTGACTCACACATTTATTTTGGTTTATTATGGAGAATGCGCAATCCTTTGGATGATTAATTTGCTAAATTATATTACTCACACAGGAAATGAATAGTTTTTCAGCTTGACCATGCACATATCATATTGTGCCGGTCCACAAAAGATGTGACAAGTCAAAGCAGACTTTATATGCTTATATTCTATATGCATGGTAGGAAATAAAATGTGAATTCACATTATAGTGTAATAAGTCATGAATATTTCAGCAAGTGAAACTAAAGATATCTGCATTATTGCGTGCCGTGATGTATTACAGGAACTGTGACATACAAGGACATTTCAGCAAGATCAAAAGTGAACAGAACATCATGTTTAATAAGAAAGACATCTGAAAAATAACATGACTGTTGAGGTTACTATATAAAAAGGTTAATTCTCCATTCAAAGTTGGGATCTTCCTGTCAGTTACTATTCCACAGTATGACTTTGGATGGATGGAGGGACAGTGGGCAAAAATCATTTAGGGAACTTTGATTAACTCAGTTTTCTTTTCTACGAGAAGAACAGGGAGGAAAGCAATTATGCATTTAATATCCAAAGACAAAAAAAGGGTGAAACTCTTTCAGTCATTCTGAAAACGGCAGAATCAACCCAGAAATTGGCAATGAAGTAAAATAAATTAAAAATGACATACTTTTGTTTTGATGGTGCTTGTTTATTTATTTTTCAAAATGTAAAGCTTTTAAAAGTGACAAGTAGGTGACATTCTGAAGTGAACTGCCACGCCATTGTGGTTCACCCATGTTGGCGAGCACGCTCGAGGGAGCCTCTGGTGGTTGTTCGTGAGACTGTTGCACTACACGCCACGTCTAGCTGCTACGTAAAGACCTTTCCTTTGTTCAGCCCTATCCAGTGTGCTAACACGGTCAATGCTGTGTCATCTTAGGACCCAGTCCTATCATGATGAATCTAAGGCAAGGCTAGTGACCGTGGCCGGCTCGACCTCTTCAGGGGCCCTAGGTCAGGCTTAACTCAGGAGTGCCCCCCCCTCAGCACCTCTGCCATCAACTGCCAACCCCCCCCCCCCCCCCCCCCAACCAAGAAAACTGATGATCATGCCACTTTCTCTGCAGTGCAGGTAATTAGGGGGCCTATTCTGCCTTTGGCTAGAGCCAGCCCTGATAATGTCTAAATGGAAATGGCGTCCTTCCTGAGGCAGCTCTGCAGTAACCCTCCGGTGGACAAAGAAATGCCCACAGGGCAACATATATTACAACAAAAGACATTGTGCTAAGTAGAGAGACAGAGTGGTGGTCAGTGGTGGGATGGGAGGCTAAAAATAATGTATAAACAAGGCACTTCTATCACTTAAAAAGTTAGACAAATACAAAGGTCTGGACTATGGGTTTACCTGACTAGCAGATAGGTATCATGATTGTAACTGAACACAGATGAATGGCCTTTTAAGAATTTTTAGGTTGTACATAAAAATAACTAGGTAAAAAAAACTGCTACATAACTATTCAATTCACCTCACATCTAAGCATTTGAGATCCACTCAATTCCATAAGATTTCAGCGATTAGAAGGAGCTGGACAGAAGCTCAAACAGCTTAATAATATCGATATTCAGATGATAAATGGTTAAGGAAAGAGCTCATCCAATGAATTGTGCAAAGACAACAGAAATGGTGGCTATACAGGAAGAAAACTTTTTTTTTTTTTTATGAAAAACTTTGGTGATTGAAAACGATCTCAGCACAGCTTTTGCACTGCCATTTCGCACCATTTTTCTGAACCTGGCTGCTTTCCGGAAAAAAAAAATGCACAAAAGCTGATGTGCATGGAAGGCAGATGATCTCCCAGAAGAAACAAGATAGACGAAAAGCACCGCTGCATTCACGTCGTCTTCGGCATCATTTCTTCACCTGAGCTGTGTCTTGATACTGCTTTTGAGCCGTGACCTTTGAACCCTGCGTGTAACAAAGCTTTGAGCAAGCTTGCCCAAATGGTCTCCGGAAAGAAAAGCAGAGAAATGATAAACAGAGGAGGCCCAAACATTTTCAAGTATTAACACAACTTGGCAACCGAGCCGTGGACACAGTATTAGAACCCAGAATACACTCTAGGAGCAAGTTATGGTTAGTTTGCATCCCCCCTCCCCCCACAAAAATATATATGTATATAAATAATATTCAGTGCTGTTAAATCTCCCAACTCCACATGGATCCGTCACAGAAGGCCTATCTTTGTTTTCTTTTCATGGCTAAAAGTTAACTGAGTATGTAAACTGAAGCTGAACTCGATCTTTTGCTTAATAGTCCTTCACTGGTGATATAACACTGAGGGAGATTTTTGTAAAGACTTGTTAATATTTTGTGTTTTTCTTTTTTTTTTTGCTTTAATGCAACACAGAGAAAAGACAATCCATTTGTTTTTGTGATTTTGTTTTCTTTTTTTTTTTGGGTAGCAGCAAAGCACCACATTTGTGTTTGTATATGTATATGAATGGCATTTGTTTTCCCTCCAAAGTCAATGGGCTGTGATGCCTACGATGAGCAACGCTCAACATTGATGCCCTCTCCACTGTGGGCCAGTATATCGATGGGTTGCAACTGCCTGTCCCAGGGCAAGGTATTCGCCAGGACCAAGTTCCTTATGCAGCCTGTGATCCCAGTGGAGAACTTTCCTCCTGTAAGCGCCACCATGTTTGGGGCACCACCTAGCAAAACACCAGAGAAACGTCAGTCACACATTTCTTCCTGGCGCTCGGGCACTTTACCATTGATATTGGGCAACAAATTTCTATTTGAAAAAACTTTGATTTGCAGTGGGCAAGTTTTCGTGATCATCCTAGAGTTGCCCTTTTTCTCATCTGGTTGGCAGTTGCCCGGCAACATTGCTCAAAAAGCTGCCTTCTGCATCATCACCCATAGAGACCAAAAAACACCTCAGGAAACTATCAGAAAATCAGGAAACTACATTGCTGCTAAAGCTAACCCATTTTAGGCCATTAGTGTGTCCTCACCAAGATAGATATCGCCTTTCGTGTTCACCATTACACTTTCGCCCCGTGACAATCCTCTGCTTATGGGTCCTCCATCAACCTGGATGTAGCCCTGTTTGCCAGTTCTGCCCAAATGGAAAACGATACAGTTATATAAATAATATAGTTGTATATATAACTAATACAGCCCCATAATTCATATCCCGTGGAAGTGGTACAGCTCAGTTCGGAAAGTATGATCTGTCATCAATCTATGTTGATTTATTGACTAATAAAAAGATCAGACATGCTCAAATGACATATTACATAAATAAAGTGTTATATTTAAAATATGCTATGAGCAACAGGTTTGAAAATAGTTCCATTACATTTTTTCCTCACTGAAAGTGATACCTCTACCGGAAGTACACTTAAACCACACCAACACTAAAACTGTGTCCACAAATTAGTCTTATTCTATTTTATGCTCATTTTAATTATGTATGAAAACAGATCATTTGGGTTTTGTATTCTTTTTTGACCCCTTTGTCTGCATGTTTTGTACATTTGTGCTTTTAAGCATTTTAAAGCACATCCTGATGAAATTCAGACACGGTTAGGGGTTTGTGGCTTTACCTCACGGCTCTAACCATGTGCCAGTCGGCATTGTTAATTGGCTCTTTGGAAGTAATCTTGGCCTCCCCACTTCCCAGCTGGTAGCTGTGAACGGGAGAAAAAACGCACAGCTGCTCTGAGTACAGACTTCATACGGAAACACAAACGTGTAGAAACTGTTTATGGTAAAAATATGAGCAACAAATGTTTTCTGCAGGCATTAATAAATGGCAGAGTCACATATTGCAATTAGGGGGCTTTCATACACTCACTGGCCACTTTATAAGGTACACCTTCATAGTCCCAAATAACGTAAACAGATGTACCTAATTAAGTGGCCAATGAGTATGTGTGTGTGCATTGTTTACCCTAGTCCCATTCTAAATTTAAATTGCTACATAGGATATGTGTATGCACCATATAACAAACAAAGATAAACAGATGTACACAATAGCTACATACTATTTTACAGGCAAGAGGCAATAGGAAAATTCTGCACGTTTTCAAAGACTATACCTGAAGACAAGGTGTCCATTTTGTAAACCAAGACTAATGAAGTCTTTGCCTTTTCCCTGATCTCCAAGTTCCTGGGAATTAAATCCACTGTAAGTATTTGCAAGTTTATGAAGAACACAAATATTCAATTGTATAAAAAACATTATTATTTCAGTCTAGAAGCAATTCTGTGGCCATTGTGACTGGATCTGCACCATTATGCAGATATGCAATAATCGATAGAGCTCTCGAAAAATGTAACATTTTCAGGGGTAGCGACCACCACACATAACGATCAGCAATAATTTAGCCGTATTATAAACAGTTGTTGCATCAGAGTACAGCTGGTTGTTTTGCCTGAGGTCAATCGAGACAGTACCTAACGTATAAACTAAGTACATGTCAAAGTAATAAACACATGTTCAAAGTGTCATCATCAAGGCCATACCTAAACAGAAAATGGCAATTTGTAATTTGGTGATCAGTGGTCATTGTTGACACACCACAGCACAACAACAAAATGTATCCGCTGCATTTAACCCATATGTGACATCATGACATAGCAGGGGGTAGCTAATTCCGTGCCCGGGGAACAGTGCTTGGGGGCCGTACCTTGCTCAGAGCACGTCGGTGGTGCCTTGCTGGTCAGGGATTCGAACACGCAGTCTCTCAATTACAAGGGTGCTTCCCTAACCATTAAGCCACCACTGCCCTTTGCAATGAGCAATTACCTATTTTTAATGTCTATAAATAGATTCATGGTTAATTTCTATTGATCTATCATTTACTACTGCAAATTTTGTATGGACAAACGTGCACGTGTTGCTAAATTAATTATAACTGAGACATTTTCTTCACATATTTTCTGTGGGAGGGACCTGAATCAGGGCACCAAGCAAGCGTGTCCCTGCAAAGTCATCAGTGTGGCACAAACAAAAGCAGTATAAATAAAGAAGAGAAAATGTGTTAACAAGATGAGTAAAGCGACACTGTGAGACTGGTTTTTAAACTGCTCTGAGCAGAATGAATATAATAACTGCATGGCAACGATCTTGAAGGCAAGGCTGCTTGTAACAAGGAACACATTTCATGTTTCAAAACATGCCGTCTACATTGCAGTACTAAACATTCCTCCCCCCCCTCCCCCCCAAAGCATGAGGATGGGGAGTCTGCATGAGAGGGAGGGAATACCTTTCGATTAGCATGCAGCTTAGGAAAAGCGCTGTTCCGCTCCTGGGAAAGAGGGAAGGTGCATTAGTGTATCAAAGCCAACAGGGCAACATGCGACTCAGGCAAACGGTGGGATCAAAGTGTCGCATGCAAGACTGCAGCTTCAACATGCTAAGCAGATCTGAACTTTGATAAGATCAGCAGGAACGAAGATTAATAATTTCTGAAATTAAACCAATGAAATATGTCCTATGCTGAAACCAAAAGCTGATGTGATAATGCTTCATATATCATAGTATATGAATCATTTTACTCTACAACAAAACATTCAAAAACAGAATACATTTTTTCCAATAAAAGAATAATTCGCTGTAGCAATGGTTTGCTATTATTATTCTTATTATTATTATTAATAATAATAATAAGAATAATAATAATGATATTGTTGTTGTTTTATAAAGCTAAAAAAGTTGTAAACTTATATACAAATTATATTATGGTAAGATTTGCACAGATGCTGAGTGCAATTGGTCTGTATGTTTGCAAGCAAGGCACAGTGAAAGGCGTTAAAGGTGGCGTGATGCTGATGCCCCCAGGTTCATTGCATTCTCCTGAGCCCATAGACCTACCACTCCCTGCCACAGTATCAGGCCTTCTGAGGAAGCTGTCCGGATCTCCAGCTCAATGACCTCAGGGGCATCGAGAGAGCTGAAACAAAAGAAATGGCGAATAACCCTGACGAAGGACAATGCTGACTACAGAGTCATTTAAAGGGAGAGTCCTTTCCCAGACTCAGTTAAACCTGCAGGAATTCTGCAGTGTTGCTGAAACTGATCAGATTACGTCCATGAGCAACTGCGTATCCATCTACTCACCAATTTACCGTTCTGCTTATTTAGTTTATCTTGTGAAATTCGAAAATAGCAAAAGTTGAACGTTCACTACCAAAACAAAGGCAGAAATCTTTATTCTGATTGACATAAACCTACAAGAAAAAGAAAATCTCATTCTCAAAGTTGGTGATAGATGTGAGATGAATGTAATATGATTTAATCAATGCCTTACCTTCGTGGGAAGACCGACTTAGGCAGTGCTAGGTACCCATTGTCATGGAAATAGGCTGCATATTCAGCGGGGGAATCTGTAAAAGGGACACATAAAGCACTGACTCTACTCCTGTGTCGATCTGCTGCTATTTTCCATACTCAGAGTAATTAGATCAGGGCTGCTTTGTATTGTGCTCCTTTAACTTCTCCTGAGAGCACAGAAAAAAAGGCTGATATTATATATGCGTACATACAGTAGAACCTTGGAACTCAAACGCCTATTAACTGTTCAACTTTACCAATTTGGACCTCGAACTCTCGAGAAAAATATATCCGCAACTCAACCGAAAACTCGAAACACGACAAAGGAAAACAGAACTGCTAAAACTTGCATGTCCCCTTCCAAACAATAACCCCTTCATCCCTCCTCCTCTCCACCCACCACTTCCAGTATATCATCAGCTCACCAGAATACAGGTAACGTGCTCATAAATTTTATTCCATGTTTATTGCTTTTGTATGTGAGCTGTTTCATGTGTCTATTACTTTTATATTGATTGTTAATGGTTTTTATCATTAATTAGATAGGCAGATAGGTTTCAACAGGCAATCATTTGGGGGTCTGGAACAGATTAAATTTACATTTCAACTAACATTTACATTTAAATTTACATTATTTCTTATGGGAAATTTGACTTGAACCTCGAACCAAATCACAACTCAACCAGCCTTCTGGAATGAATTAAGTTCGTGTTCCAAGGTACCACTGTATAATTATGATATATGTTCATATGAAGCATGTCAGTGTAGCACAAATAATACAGAAAATATTTTGAAATGTCGGTTAAATTTTACATGTAAAAATAAAATCACTTTGTGAAAATCTCTCAATTTATTGGTTGGACATCAAGTCTCCTAAAATACAAAGGTTCCACAAATGTATATTAACAAATATGTTAATAGTAAAAGAAGGACTTTTCTGACAAACAGTGTACATGCATACATACAGGAATACCTGAAGGGATCTGAAAATCACATGGACGCTGTAGATGCATCTACACTTTTTAAAATACGTTTTAGTGGTTTAGTCGGTCGGAGCATCATAATGCATATCAACAATTCAGCTTCCAACAGACAATGGAGAATGACAGTCGACTTTATTTTATTTTTTTCTCAAGCAGACAGTTTCAAAGACGACAAAGGGATGACATGTTGGGGTGAGTAGTTATGCCACAGATTTGAGGTCTGGTTCTGGGGGGTTTGAAAGGGGAATTCTACATTTTGGCGGTTTGGAAGAGACTGAACTGTCCCGATAATAAATCGGTGCCGACCACAATGGGACACCCCTCTATAGCTATTATGTAGAATTCCCCATTTCCGTGCAAATCCACAAAGAAAGACAAGGACTCCCAAGTACAGGTAAATAGAGTGCCGACTGATGGCGGTTAGGCAGGCAGGTGACCTATTCTCAGCATTCCTCCCGTTAATCAAGGGGTGTCAAGCTCAACGGCAGGATACTGTACCATTCCCCCCGCTACCCTCCAAATCCCACATGGCGTCGGGGAAGCTCAGAGAGTGTCCTGTGTGTGCGGAATATAGTGGTTACAGCGAATGGGAGAGACATTATGTCATCACGTCAGGGATCGATTGGGGCGCCGCACAGCTTAAGTTGACAGCATGCACCGGGACGTCTGCGCATAATTCCATAGGCCGGGACAAAATAACTTTTACCAAGCCTACAAGACAAGCAGCCCATCCTACATGGGCCCTCTCCTGGGACCCCCTTGGGCCCAGGACACCTCCTTCAGTTGCCCCCCCCCCTGAAAAATAGTGGGCCTCAATCTGCAGAACTCATGCACAACCCACCACCTGGCATCTTCTTCCATAACACGCTCCTCAGTCACTTTCTCTGTTTTCATTGACGGCGCGTATCCATGAAAACGTCAATTACAACAGCTGTTTCCTGTGCAATTTTCATTCTCTGACATTTACTGAATAAGGATTGTTATGATGTATGTTAGTGCCAGGAGGACCCCACTTTGGTGGTGGAGGCTCAGAGGGCGGGGTAATACTCACTCGTTTCACAGAAGAGGCCGGTGAAACCAGAGGAGCACACACAGCGGTTGGCAAGGCAACGGCCCCCATTCTGGCACTCGGAGTTGTGTTGACATGTATCTTTGACCACCTCGCAGAGCTCGCCTGCAAGGATGGGGAGGTGAATCAAGGGAAACAATGTGCTTTGGGAATTTCTTACTTTTACGCTATTTTTTCTTTGACCACAGCGAGGAAAGGCTAACTTTGACTTTCTACCACAGTCTACAATTATAGAATTTTCCACTGAAATATACGTATATGTATGCAGTGTATGGTAGTTCCTCTCAAACATTCTGGAACTCACCCTCGAAACCATCCTGGCAGAGGCACTGGAACTCATACTCTGCACTGTACAGGCAGGTGCCGCCATTCCGGCAGGGCCGGCGCTCGCAGGGGTTGGCGTCCACGCACTGCGAGATGGACTGGCTCTCCGTGAAGCTGTAAGACAGGTCCACCTTCTTCCCATTGATGGAAACCTGGGCCAGGGGGAGGGTCACGGCAGCCAGAGGATCAGCACCAAGGCTTTCATGTTGGGACTCAGCTTGTTTACGGTCCAGTTCGACTGGGTTATCGGAATTTGACTCTTAATGGACATGAGAGGACAATTCACAGTAGTTTTTGCCTTGTTTGAAGTTGTTTTTAAATTCGATCTTTTCAATTCTGTGACTGATCATTATCATTTTCAAACATTCATGTACATTACGAACGAGAAAGGCATCTGGTGTGTAAATAATTTAATAATGTTATACACAGCGGGTAGGGTCACGCATGAAGGGCATATACAAGGGTGGGACCACAGGGGCAATGGCCCCAGCTGAAAGCCGATTGGCCCTTGGATTGTCCCATCCGCATTTCAAAGCATTTCATTGGCAGGTAAGGATGGGTCCTCTGTATGAATTATGGCCCCTCTTATCTAGAATCGCCCCTGCATGGACGGTGCTAACAAGAGGTCACATGATGTCACTGTGGAGCGATGTAACATACCTCCCCGATGCAGCCCTTAAACAGCATGCTGATGTTGGCAGGTTTTGGCAGGATGTCCATACTAGGTACGCCACCCAGGTACATGGGAGTGTAGATGTTTAGGCCCTGGGCTTTTCCCGGGGATGACCGCCGCACTTCACGGGCTTGGTCCACCTTTAGAGAGCCATCCCTGTCGATGCGTTCGGCTTCAATTTGGTGCCACTGGCCCAGTTTGACAGGGTCACGGCTGCGCAGCACGGCCATGCCTGTGATGAGCCGGGAGATGGAAGAGCGTCATGCTGGAGAGCAATATGCTAATATAAGAAACTGTGGTCTAGGGTTTCTGCAGGTTAAACAGAATATGTTGGGTAATGTCAATCACAAAAGAAACAAGACTCAAGGACATAAGAAGAGTTTCTTCTTATAATTGCTCTTTAAGAATAATAAAAAAACATGCAGTAGATGTATCCGATAATTACTGACTAAATGCATATACTGTACAAGGCCAAGGGGGTTTACATACATGCATACTTCACCAAATCTTCATCATTAATTCGCAATTAAGTGACTCGGAAGCTGAGACCTTCTTGGGATGCTCTGAAAACCCCTAGAACGACTGCTTAATGCCCTCATAAGGTGCCACAGTGACATCACAGGAGTGTGACGTGTGGGCGCTCGGAGAAACACTCACCCGTCCCCAACTCATAGCGGAATTCGATGTGGTTGTCCACCATTGCCAAAGACACAAAGTCCTCAACCTTCATCTTCTTCCCCCCGCTGAAGAACATCAGCCCGTTGGCTTCCATCGGCTTGAACTCCAAGTCTACACGCAGGTCGTTGTGGATGTTGGTGAGTGGTGGGTATGTAATGAAGGAGTCCTCGCCATTGAACAGGGGCGTGGTCACCAAGGTGCCTGCAGCAGAAATAGAACATGCACCAATGTCCGTTTCATTCTAATTCCCTGCACTGTCTGGACTAGCAACATTTTGGGTCACATCAAATAACGTCTGTGTTGGTTCTGAGGACACAGCATTCTGAAGGGACCCATAGCAAAGCCAACTTCGGCAGCACTTACCATGCATACACTTCTCCCCGAACTTGCCCAGGTGGCAGCGGCAGTCATAGCCTCGGCCACTTGGGTTGTTGATGCAAGTGGCATCGGACCCACAGGCCTCTGTAGAGTAAAAAGACGGTATACATATCACTGGGTTTATGGGTATCACTCTACGTGTTTCTGCACTGTGTGGAGCTAAAGGTGTAATAAATACAGCAGACAGTGGCACCTGGGTGGCAGTGCATAGAGGAGTGGTGCTCGCAGTTGCTGCCAGTGAATCCGCGCACACATTCACATTTGTAGTTGCTGGTCTCTGAGTCTTGGCAGACTCCTCCATTCTACAGTAAAGAACAATGGCATGGCAACAGCAGTCATCAGAACAACATGGGGTCAACAATACCATTCAGGCAAGGAATGTCACAGGAGATTTTAGGAAAAGAGAGGCTGAGACATTAAACCCACCATGGAGAAACCACAAATCATCCAGGCTTTCACAACCAGATCAAGATTTTAACACTGCGCATTGTTTGATAAGCAAGTTTCATTCTACAGCAATTGTGAGCCTGAAAAAAGGAATTTAACATGCAGAAACACATTTTGAGGATAAAAATGGTGTGTGATGCTTCATGCTAAGATGAAGGATGCACCCAAGCTTCAGAAACACTGGTGGTCACTTTGGAGGCAGCCAATGTGAACAAACAGCTGAGGTTACCTGACATGGCCGGTCTTTGCAGGTGGGGCAGTTTGAGACTCCTGTGGAGCTACGGTCCAGGTCTTTGAAAATCACCTCATCCCCCTGGATGATGAGTTGACGGATACAGCCTGTTCAGGAGACAAGACAATTCTAGCATCTTCATTTAATGGATCCACATATATCAAAAAGAGAATACCCCCGATGTGGTCATTATTGCAAATGTATTGTGCAGAAATTGTAGTAAATGGAAAGGATGATCCGTACCGACAAATCCATTCTTAAGGCCGGTGGTTTTAGAAACAATACTGTAGTTTGGGTAACCACCCACATGGAGCTCCTCATTCAGATCCAGTCCTTGGAATTTGCCCTGTATGAGACGGCAGAAGGCAAGCAAAGACACAAATAAGCACACTATCGTTGTTAATTATTCACAATTCTATTTCAAATGTTCTTAAATGATGACAAGCATAATTTATGTTATCTGATTTTGATGTACACTAGTGGTCAAAATTGTGGAATCACGTAGCCTTTTTGGTGTTAAGTAGAAAAAAAACTACACAAATATTGCCGGCAATGTTACAAATATCATACTTTGGGCGATTAAATAAGTAACTGGAGCAACTGGAATAAAGTTCTGCAATCTCTACAAATTGGAAATGTTTCCCCAATTTTGGCCATTAGCATAGATGATTTTGCTATACCGAATGATTTCATGAAGAACTCTAATATGACTTTTGTAAAATTACACATTATTTACTTCTAAAAATTTTATATTTTATCAAAACTTTAAGAACACTGCATTAAAACAGGATTGATTGCATTGTACCTGTGAGCTGCCGTTGATTGGAGCTTGTCCATCCACGATAATGGCCCCTTGCGTGGTATTTCGATACAGTTCTACTGTGTGGAACTCGCCTAGCTTGATGGGAGTGGGGAAGCGTATGGTGGCCATACCTGAGCCTACATCAAACCTAGAAACAGCAGCACAGAGTGAGGGCAAACAAATTGCCATATTTACACATTTTTTTAATTTGCAAATAATCACTGAGTGTACACGGATGGTGTTTTTTCATCACATTTAAATCATTTACATTTGCTTGATGCTTTTGCCCAGTGTGCCGTATATGCAAGGCAAAGAGTTCATCCCAGAATCACAGACCAGAAGTCAATTAGGCATAAGCTTAGCTAGGCTGAGCTTCCTATGAGTAACTGGTAAGTAGTGTAAGTTAGGATGAGAGCAGGAGCTATTCAAAATTACAAAATATAGCAAGACCAATGTACCAAGCCAATGGTGTTTGCAACACCATTATCATAGGTTGTGTGCATTAAAGTCACAGCAAACCAACCATGCTATTGTTTGGGATGAGAAATATGAAACTCCTACAACAGCTGTGATGATTCTTATGGCAACAGCCACGGCCAACTGCTCACCTGAACTCAGGACGGCCACCGACAAGGCCAAGCGAGATGAAGTCGGCACCTGTGGTCCTCTTCTGCCCATTGTAGAGAATCATGCCTGGAGGATGGATGGAAAGAGTTATTGAGGGGCCCGATTAACAGAGAAAAGCTAGCCTTACTTAGGGGGCGAGTGCCATGCTGCTGGAGATCCAAGGGCCAAGCCAGGTTAGGTGCAGCCAGCTTGAAGGTGATCCTTCCCTGCCATGTGCCAACACAGGCTCTTCACACAGGCTCTTCACACAGGCTCTTCACACAGGCTCTTCACACAGGCTGCATGCTTGGGCCACAAACGCGGCCAAAGAAGCGCGCATCTGAAACCATGCCACCTATAATCTAAAGCAATCAAGTCTGCTTTGTTCTTAAAAGAGGTCAGCTGAACAGACCACATTTCCGTTCTTAAAGGAATGCTAACGGTGGTTTAGCTGATCGTTCTTATATTTGCTGGTGTCTCAAGGAAGCACTTTAGAAGACTTTAGTTTTTTTGTAGCATCAACCAATGCAAGAAATGTGGATGTGTGGCTCGACATGGATACTCTGCAGAACACCATATAGGCTTCACAACCACATATCCATTCCCAATGCCATTCCCTATATAAAGGCATCTTCTTAGAAGTAAAGCAAACTTTCCTGGGAAACACAGCACATTCCAAAGTGGTGGAATATATATTTTTGTTTGGATTTTTCACTCCTCCATTGCAAAGCCTAAAGCGAAGCGGCCCAAAAGACCATCCAGCCCTCAGAGCAGTACGAGCCAGTCTTTTTGTAAACCTGCAGTGACCTGGCTGATCATCTCGATCAGGATGTGTTACTTGGCAGGTTACACATGCCTGGTCCCACAAGGACCCACAGCATGGGGGAAAGCCACGCCCGAGGCAGACTCAAGGCAGCCTGACTCGTTTCCAACTCACCGGCATACAGAATGACGCCTTGTCATCACACGAGTGACAGAAAGTAGGCGAGGAGATAGAAGGAACAGAGGTATGACAGCACGTGAACGTAAAGCAGACAACTGACATCAGGCGACTCGTGTTCTACAAAGGCCTCAATAACAGTTAATGAAGTTAAATTTTAATTACTGAAAAGGCTATACACAAACACAAGTATTTGAGGCCAAGTTAACAAAAGAACAAAGATATGCTCAAATGTCTTGATCTGCGTGCTTTGGAGGGAGCTCCTACTTGATAAGGATACAGCTTTTAAATGTATTAAGTCACTTTAGACGGAGACAAAAACGCCAGATATCAAATCAGGAAATCTTACCATCAACATTGTCTGGCCGGAAGGTGATCTTGATATTGAAAGCTTTGTATGAATTCTTTATGGTGGGCAGGGTAAGATAGGACAGTGGAGTCTGGGTGAAGTAGGGCATAATTCTCTCTGATGGAATGAGAAGATCAGACATATGGTTTGGAGACTTGAAACAAAGCTTCTTATTAATCATTTCAGGCAGTTCCAGTCCTCCATGCTGGGTCTTACCGTGAACTTTCAGCATCGAAAAGGCCTGCACTTTTCCTTGCTTATTAGAGGCAGTACACACATATGTTCCTGAGTCTTCAAAGGTGACATTGGGGATAGTCAAGACATGGCCTTCTTGAGAAGCTTTTGGAGCAAGTGGTCCCTCCAGCTAGAAGAAGAGGGTATGACTTTAGCATGGAGTTTTCAGCACAATATTATGTATTGTGGTGATTTGAAGAAAGTCAGGTATATGACACAAAACTGATCTGAAGTCTGAAAGAGGATTAATGTTAACGAATTAAAATAAAACGTGAAAAGATCCCTAGCTGACAAGACGTGCTAAAGCTGCCACACAAAATGTTGAGGGGTCACCTTAGTCCATGTGATCTGTGGAAGAGGATAGCCCGAGGCCATGCAGGGGAAGACGGCAGTGGAGCCCACTGTCACCTCTCTTACTTCAGGTTGGGCAGTGATCTGAGGAAGGGCTTCAGAGACAAAACACAACAAGCTAGCCACATTACCACCAGACAACCAAGCAGTTAGGTAGCTAATGACTGCTCTTACTCTTAAGAGTACTTTTACTACTCTTAAATACTCCACGTGAGTACCGAATAACAGCTGTTGTTAAGATGATTGTTAAAGCAGGTAACATTTACTTACTCTGCACATTGAGTATCACCTCAGACTGCACTGAGCCCACATTATTGGTGGCGGTGCAGCGGTACTTCCCAGCATCGACCTCCGTCACCCTGTTGATCGTCAGCATGCCACCTTTCACCACCACATGAGAGAACAACGTGCCGTCCACTTTGCTCCACTGCACGGTGGGCTCGGGGTCGCCAGTAGCATGGCACTCAAACTCCACGGAGCTGCCCAGCATAACTGTCTGCACTGAGGTCCGTATGTTGATCATCACTTTGGGCAGTGCTGGGGGTAGCAGGAGGAGAGTGTCAAGAATGACATCAATAGAATTGGACACATATTTTGCCTTTCCAAATCATGACAGTCTATGAAAGAGGTCAAAGTTCGCCAGTGAAGAAGAGACCTTGTATGGTGAGCTTAGCGGTGTCCTGAGCCTGCCCATACAGACTCGTGGCTCTGCAGATGTATATGCCAGCGTTACTTTTCTCCAGGTTCTCAATCCTAAGGATACATCCCCAAAGAGCATAAGGAGGATATAATACATACCATCATCTACATCTGCACACTCAATATGCGCTGTGGTGCCACACCCTCACCTCAGCATGCCATCCTTGATGTGATGGTTAGCAGGCAAGGAGCCTCCCTCCTTCAGCCACTCAACGGTGGTCTGGATGCCCCCATTTGCTGAGCAAGTGAACTCTACAGCACTTCCTGGTGCCTTCACTTCTACCTGTGGGTACACACGCACCTCTAAGGGTGCTAAGGGGTGGGGTATGTCACTCAGACTGAAACAGCAAGATTATCACGCTCAAACCACAAATTAAGACAAGGATGGATACAGATCCGTTTGAACACCCACATTTTGCATGATACAACATGGGACTCAAGATTATGATGAAATCTTAAGATCATATAAGCTCTAGGTGGAGTACTGGCTAGCTAAATAGAAGTCAAGCAGAATAACTTATGGTTTAAACACATCACTTAAGTTAGCATAGTTCAGCTAGAATGAGAAAATGTTGGGTTGACTCACATCTAACAATGACTCTTGCTAACGCCTCACTGGATCCAACTTTGTTGCTGACGGCGCACTTGTAGGTGCCAACATCATTCGCTGTGGCCAGATTGATCTGGAGGTTCCCACCCCGCACCTCAGCTCTTGCTGACATGCTGCCGTTGACCTTAGTCCAGCGGAAGGTCAGAGGTGGCGTCCCGTGTGACAAACATTGTAGCCGGATCACTTCGCCCACCCGGACAGACAGGTCATCCGGCAGAGTGGTAGCATAAGGGGGAGCTGTTTTAAGGACAAAGGGTTGGGGAAATGGTTGGCAAAAAATCTGACCTGAAACCCAGTCTGGAAGCAAATCTCAATCAATTCTGTGGCCCATATATAGAACATTTCGAATGATGCATTCGAGTAAAGTTCTATACTATAGAACTATAGCTTTGAATAAGTAAGTTAAAAACCATTTTATATAGCTACAGTATAGGTACAGAGGTTAGATGTTTTTTGTAATGTTGAGGGGATGAACAAGTTATTCCTGTATGATGCTCTTTATGACCATTAAGTAAATTATCATGAGTTATCGTGAGAAGCCTTCTGGTAAAACTCACTTTCCACATCTAGCATGATGAGGACTTCGGAGACTCCCAGGTTGTTGGTGGCATTGCAGATATACTGGCCAGAGTCCTGGCGCCCAACACTGGTTAGGACCAGGGTGTTGTTGACCACACTGTGCCTCCAAGGGAGTGGCGCACGAAGCTTAGACCATGTGATGGTGGGAGTCGGGTATCCTAAAAATGATTTAAAAGCCAGTAAATTAAATTAGGGTGGCAGCTGAAGAATGCTATGTTTTGATGGAGATGGATACTACCTTGGGCGTTGCAGTGCAGTGTGACAGTCTGACCTTCCTTTACCACCATGAACGTCTCAGGCACAGAAGCTATGGGGAAAGAAGGCACCTGTGCGCCACCTTCAATGATCACCTCCACCCTGGCTTCAGAGGTTCCCTCACTGCTCTGTGCTGTGCAAATGTAGGTACCAGAGTCCTCTGGGCGGGCCACCAGCACCTGGGGGAAGAGACATGGATTCTGTGGCCCTTCCTAATACCCAACATCTTCCACTGTTTCTTAAACTCTGCTTAGTGTCACATCAATGAACATTTGTTTAGTTGGTTGCCTGCTGCTACTCAAGTCAATGCTTGGATAAAAACCTTGCTAAGAAACTCCTTTGCAAGTGCTAATCAAGCAATAATCAACTTAGGTTCTATCAAGTTTAGCTTATTTCTACAAGGCCTATAAAGGTTATTGTTGCTGTATTCTACAGATACATTTCCTAGTTGAGAGAATGAAGGTCAATTATATCTGGCTAAATATAAGAGGCCAACTTCATTTGACAGAACAAAATATAGAATTTAGAATAGAGAAGAGGCCACCATCTCTACAAAGAATAGCATACACTGTATTTCATTTGTTAGTAATAATTATTATCCAGTGGAAGAGATGACAGACGTGTATATATCCACACCAAACTGACCTGCATCACTGCATTTGACTCCATTGGCACAGGACTGTTCAGGACAATCCTATGGCTGTTGTCCATTCGATGCCAGCTGACGGATGGGCGTGGATCTCCCCTGGCTTGACACTCCAGATTGATGGGTTCACCAACCCACACCCGAACTGGACTTTTGGGGGTCACCGTCACTTTGGGGGAATCTGTGATTTACAAGGTTACATATTGCCTAAATTGACTGATCGGTCGATAGATTCATCCATACATGTTTAATAACTGCTTTTCAAGTACACAGCCACACCGGAATGTGATTCCAGTTGTATATATTGTTGTGGTCATCTCAATAGCATCTGCATCGATTAGACCTTGTAATTGGCAAAATCAAATGTGTGATCACCTTTGACAATCAAGGAGGCGATACTTCGGGTAATTCCAAAGCGGTTACTGGCCACACAGTGGTAGGGGCCCTGATTCCTTGGCTGGGCATTAGTTATGGTGATGACTGAGTTGTCAGGTCCAACCTTTACATTGTCTGGAAATAACAAACAACACAGTTCAGGAAGATTCATCCTCTGCACTGTTATGAAAAAAGATAAGTGGGAAAAAAACCCTACAATTTTTGGTTTACAGTGGCTGACACCTCATGAGCAGATAAATAAGTTTCAGAGGACTTCAAGATTTACTGTCACATGTTCAGAGGAAGTTCTTGTGCCACAGTTGTGGGGGAAAGGGGCTCCGGGTCAAACAGTAGTGTGCTGATCATGTCATATTTTGATCATATCAGTTCATGATATATGGGGTCTTATGCAGTATAACCTATCCTTATTTTGTATCTTAGTTGTTTGTCAGTACCCGTTGTATGTCTGCACTGTATCATAATACTTATTTTGGTGCAAAATCATTGTTTTTGCTGAAGCCACATTGGTTAGAGACTCTGCAAGAGAAATCTTCCCAGAAGTTTATTGGCTGTCAACTCCTATCGAATGAATCAACAGGGCAGCCGTTTAGATTTCTAAATCTGACATAAAGATACATAACTAATAAAGCCTATAATATAATACATATATCAGATACAAAAGAGAAATTGATACTGATTCACCTGGCAATGGCTGGTTGCCCGCCAGCTTCCACTCCAGGTGGACAGGCTGGGCCCCGCTGTAGATGTAGCATCTGAAGCTGGCTGCTTCACCCAGTCGCACTGCGGTACTATGGGGCTCGATGGAGATAATGGGTGTCTGCAAGCCTGCTCCCAGTGAGAAAAGGCGTCACACAATGGTTAGCGCCCCCTGCTGCATATTAAGAAGCATGACGTACACATCATCTCTCCCCGATTGTTCCCAGCTCTGAGTGCCATGAATCGAATGGTGGCTGCTACTCCAGGAATCGTGATGATGATGCAGGTAAGAACTGGGGAAATTCTAGGATATTTTTTACAGTGGGGGGCATAAGAGGGGCCAACCATACCATTAGCCAATTGTATGTTTTGAATCAGTGAGTGACAGAGGAGAGGACACTCTAGCCAATCAGCTTTCAGCTGGGACCAGTGTCCAATCTTTAACTGGTGCTTGCTTTGTTTATGGCACTACACAGTAATCACATAACGGTCTTAAATAATTGTCCAGAAAAGTGGAGGAGGACTGTTTTGGTTGCATGTGCAGACTTGGGGTATAAAGCTCAGCCGCTTCTCTCGCCCCACTTACGCGATGTGCTTGAGGTGACAGATACAGTCACAGAAGCCTGCTGGTGAGCTGGGCCACCTTGGACCCGGCACGTGTACTCCCCGGCGTCGTCCGCAGAGGCCTGGAGGATCCGGAGCACACTGCCATGGACCTGGTACCAGATGTAAGCATGTATTTTGGTCAACATATTCAGCCACAACTCTGGACCTTTTTCGCTGTTAAAAGTAATTACTGTAAATGTTATTTACATACAGTTTGTCAATTATTCTAATACAGTTAGCCAAACTAGCACAGGTTTAAAAACTAAGCTCGATACATCAGCGGTCAACTTATTTAACAACAAATAAGTGCTTTCAGAGAAAGACAAATCTATTTCCCATGGGAAATTTATCAGTACGTTTTGTGAAAAAGCTTTTTGCTTTTTTGTTTTCAGGTGGTACATAATGTGAAATATCATGCATTTTTTTAGAATTAGGTTACGCACTTTGGTGTGGCCTTGTATTGTAAAGTCACCTGTAACACGTAAATTAAGAAAATTTGGGACAAGGCTTGCTGACACTGTGGACAGCTAGGAAATGCAGCTACAGTATAAAACACACATACTGTAGTAGGTAAAAGGAGAATGAGCCAGTGGCGACTGCTCTAAGACTTCAAGGGAAGCTCTGCTTCCTCTACTATGTCAGAAAATAAATGCTCATATATTCACTGCTGTATTTATATTGGTTTTAATAAAAGTGCACTAGAACGCGTTTAACTTCACGATGAATGGAGCAGTGGCAGGCCAGGACGCTGGGATGCTGCATGATGATTGGAGGAGCTGTCTAAAGTGAGGAACCCCTTTTTGATTGACAGCATATTTTAAGTATACATAGGCACTACAGAGATTCGAGTTCAGTCCCATGTGGATTTGCAGGTGAAGTCGTAACACAAACTGCTGCACTATGTGTTGTTTGCTGGTGATATAAGCCATTTTTGTTTGTACAAATCATTCTTTAAATAAAAAAAAAACAATATTATAGCGTTTTTGACATTGTCCCTTGTTTCAGCATTATAAAGTTAGTTCATTCATATAATTGGAAGGGGGAATTAGCCAACTAGCAAGCTGTGCATAATGGCAGATGGTGTTAATATTGGTGACCTGCTTTCAGCAAAGCCATTTAATAGTCTTCCTTACAAGGAGAGACTCAGAATTAAACAGCAGGGCAGACCAACGCCCAAGATTTATTTGCCGCAAAAATCAGGGGAAAATAACAGGTCTTTTCAGCTCTCCTGGTATGACAAGGTGAACTGACTGACTGGAAGTGCCGTGACAAAGAAAATGTACTGTTGACCATGCCTCTTGATGAAACCTTCTCAGGGAATGGGATGTGTTGCTTGGTAAAATGTGGATTTTGGGGATCTGGGTAACTGTTCTCCTGTTTTAAACGGGTCAAGTCATACACCCGCAACATGACGACCCAAGATTGTTTGAGCAATCTTGCTCTCCTGGCCATTGAGAGGAAACTGGTTAAGTCCCTGGAAAAGACGGCCAATTGGTTCGACAGGGTCACAGACCATTTTCTGCAAAAGGAACGGAGGGCTGAATTCATGCATAAATAACAATGAATTTTATGATGTAGGCCTAATGTGAGCTTCCCCTGTTTGAAAGACTAGCAGCCGCCACTGGAATGGGCGTATGCTTGTGTGGGCGTATGCTTATGCTTAATCGCACCTGATGATTGGAGGATAGGGGTCTTCCTGCCCTTTGCCAGACGACTGAGGCTGAAGAGGGTCCAGGGACAATACATGTGAGATCCAGCAAATTGCCCTCCTGTACTGTGGCGATGGAGGGCTGGATGGTGACCGATGTAATGGCTTCTGGTGGCCAGAGAGGAACACAGCTGTAGTCACATGTGTTCCCACATGCACATCAGGACTTACATTCAAGCAGCATTTTTCAATTGGCGGTAATTTTAAGTTAGCTAGCGGTTTGTTCAGTTGTAAGGTTAATGATATATGGACATCCAGGAAATACCACATTTTTACACCACTTACGTACTACAGAAACTCATTTTACAGAGCAGACTGACAAGCCCCAGATTTGTCTGACTGAATATAATATATTAAAGTATTATATGAAGCCTGGGAGCATCTACAGGATAAAGTGCCATTCGGTTAATATTGGAAAGTCGTATGTAGCCTACAGTGTGTCTGCTAATGATGTCAAATATATCTGCCTAAGCCGACCTTCAGTTGTGCTGTCTTTTACTCATTGTGTCATTAAATTAAGCCAATAATTAGCATTTTCTCATAATAATTTCCCTATTAAAGATTTGCACACTTTCCCTCACTTGTACAAATATAAAAATGGGACAGGTCAGTCTCTGAAACAGCCGTGGCATTTAAAAGAGAGGATGGCAGGAAGGGCGAGAGGAGAATTAAAATATTATAGCTTCGTGCAAGTAGCAATATCTACAACCCTGGTCAGCTTCTATCGCTGAAAACAGACGTGCATGGCTTTCATAATCCAAGAGCCCTGGTTTGAGCACACATTATCCTGGATGATTTATTGACAGTCTCTCCCGTTTATTTTCCAACTTTACGTGTCATGAATGGTGAAAATGGTGAATAGTGGCTGATGCTCCAGGAACTGTCACGATGACAAACTGTCACAATATGTCACCGCTGTCACAATACACCCTGCCCTCGCCCCGCCACCTCAGAGCAGATTCTTATGGCTCTAAGAATTTTATAATCACATTAGTCTTTATTGGTCGCTTGTATTGTTTATGACATTAGACTGAACTAAAATAATATTCTTCTAGACTAAATGAAAAAAAGAATGAAGGCGAATTACTGTGGTGACATGTGATGAAAAAAGGTATAAAGCAGAGCCTTTTCCCTGCCTCCACTTACGAGACGTGCTGGAGGTCACTGTGACGGTCACAGAGGCCTGCTGGACGGTCGAGCTGCCCTCAAGTCGGCAGATGTACTCCCCGGCATCATCCGGAGAAGCCTGGAGGATCCGGAGCATGGTGCCTCGAACCTGGGGCCACACACAGGCACACAGACAGCTGGTCACAGCTACTGCCGACCCGAAATTTCTACCTCTGGATTTTATTTTTACTATTATTAGAGACAAGTAGAGAAAAAATGGCTCCCTGTAGCACTAACACGGGCTAAAGATGTGTAGTTCTATGGGTTAGGCCTCTATGTCTGTGTATGACAGGTCACCGGTTCGAAGCAAGACCTCAGCAGAATAGCCACATGTCTATTGGGCCCTTGAGCAA